GGAACGGCGCTCCCGCCTGAGACTTCCTCGCAATTTAGTGAGGACCCCCGCTCCCGCCTGAGACTTCCGTGCAATTTGCTCAGGAACGGCGCTCCCGCTTGAGACTTCCTCGCAACTTAGTCAGGGCCCCCGCTTCCGCTTGAGATTTCCTCACAATGTACTCAGGACTGCGCTCTCGCGTGCGACGTCCTCACAAATTATTCTGGAATTGCGTTTCGGCGCTCAGGAACCACGCACGCGCCAAGGACGCCTTCACAACGTGGTATCTTCCCTCTTCCTTCGTCCTTCCCCCTCCCCTTCCTCCCACTCTCCCTCGTTCTTCCCCTCCTCCTCTTGCAGGGCCCGCGCCAATTCCAATGGCGGGCAGAGAGATGTACGCCCCCGAAGGATTGTCCGCCCGTTCCGGTTTGCCCGTACGTCTAAGCCCGCCGGCCCCAGCAAAGAGAAATAATCCCCCCGAAAGGGGTGTGATCGAAGACGAAGAGGGCGGGTATCGAGGGTGTAGGGTATACGTGTTGAATGACTCGCGGGCAAGTAAGAGCGTACAGCCTTAAAATGGTTGTTGTTGTTGTTGTTGTTGTTGTTGTTGAACATTATTACTTCTAAAGAATAATTATTGTTGGGGCCCCTGGTGCACGGCCCCCTCGCCGCGCCTAGGCCGCAGCCATGTTTTCATCACTTTCGTGAAGAAGTCTCCGGCAAAACGGGTTGGTCCGGATCCGGTTGTTTTGTTACGGGCGGTTTTCCCTTGCAAAAAATAAGCTAAAGTGGACATTTCTTGTTCTAACATAACCAAACTTCAAGAATCCCTTGCAAAAATAAGGTAAAGTGGACATTCGCGCGCGCAAGACGAAATCCTTCCAAAACCTTAGTGTTCGTAGCGATTTTAACATAAAAACATAAAAAAAAAAAAAAAACCAATGGTTTTTCAAAAAAAAAAAAAAAAAAACGTGTCAAAATTTCATCCCGCGCGCTCTTGCGGATTTGTAGGAAACCCAACACTTTTTAAACATTTCTGTCAAACGGGCTTTTGCGAGCAACTTTTTCGTCCTATTCTAGCGTCAGGAACACGTTACCACCAAAAACCAGTACAGGTGTCCAGTGTTGGAACAGGGGGAAAAGTCGTATACTAAGCTAGCGTCCAGAAAATGTTACCACAACAAGTCACTGTACCCATGCGCCAGTGTAGTAGCCACGGTCGTCCGCAGGCCACGAAGTGAAGTGTCCGAACGTCATAGGGCGGGAAGCTGGGTGTGGGTGGTGGCGAAGAGTCGTTTGGAAATGTGGTAGAGCTTGAACCGGCCCCCCCACAAAGTGGGGGTATTGCCCGGCGTCGTATGAAAACCCTGGCACTGGTGAGAACGGAGTGTCCCCACGTGCTAGTAATTGTTGTTGTTGTTGTTGTTGTTGTTTGTTGTTGTTGTTGTTGTTGAACATTATTACTTCTAAAGAATAATTATTGTTGGGCCCCTGGTGCACGACCCCCCCGCCGCGCCTAGGCCGCAGCCTCATTTTCATCATTTTCGTGAGGAAGTCTCAGGCAAAACGGGTTGGTCCGGATCCGGTTGTGTTGTTACGATCGGTTTTCCCTTGCAAAAAATAAGCTAAAGTGGACATTTCTTGTTCTAACATAACCAAACTTCAAGAATCCCTTGCAAAAAATAAGGTAAAGTGGACATTCGCGCGCGCAAGACGAAATCCTTCCAAAACCTTAGTTTTCGTAGCGATTTTAACATAAAAACATCAAAAAACCAATGGTTTTTCAAAAAAAAATGTCAAAATTTCATCCCGCGCGCTCTTGCGGATTCGTAGGAAACCCAACACTTTTTAAACATTTCTGTCAAACGGGCTTTTGCGAGCAACTTTTTCGAACTTCTGCAACAACGGTTGCGCACCTGCCAGGGCCATCATCCCTGTCAAATAATACCATGCGGGACACATTCGTTTTTTCTTCGCGCGCGCACGCCGTCGTCGTCGGCCGCGGGGCCCTGAATAGTAGCCACGGTCGTCCGCATGCCACGAAGTGAAGTGTCCGAACGTCATAGGGCGGGAAGCTGGGTGTGGGTGGTGGCGAAGAGTCGTTTGGAAATTTGGTAGAGCTTGAACCGGCCCCCCCACAAAGTGGGGGTATTGCCCGCCTCCTATGAAAACCCTGGCACTGGTGAGAACGGAGTGTCCCCACGTGCTAGTAATTGTTGTTGTTGTTGTTGTTGTTGTTGTTGTTGTTGTTGTTGTTGAACTCTCATTCTTGAAGAATAATTATTGTTGATCCCCCCCCACCGGTGCACATTGATTTTTTTCGATTGAAGTGCCACCCCCGGGGCTCGCACCTTGTTTTTTCTCAAGGAAAGTCTTCCTGCTCAAACTGTGCCCCTGCCCCCCGGGCTACAACAACAACGGCTCCCGCCTGAGACTTCCTCGATTTTTACTCAGGACCCCCGCTCCCGCCTGAGACTTCCGCGCAATTTACTCAGGAAAGGCGCTCCCGTCTGAGACTTCCTCGCAATGTAATCAAGACCCCCGCTCCCGCCTGAGACTTCCGTGCAATTTACGTGGGAACGGCGCTCCCGCGTGAGACTTCTTCGAATTTTACTCAGGACCCCCGCTCCTGCCTGACATTTCCGCG